TGGCTGGGGAATTCTGGGAGTTGAAGTCCACTCATCTTAAAGTGGTCAAGTTTGGACAACATTGGCCTATATAGAAATAGTCCTCCTGCAAATGCCAGCCCTTGACTATGTTTCATTTTAAAAACAAACACGTGCATATTGTAGGCAAATTGGCTAGGTTTACCTTATAGTGTTAAGACAGAATCCCTATGATAGCATCAAATATGACCGTAACAGCCAGCTAAGACTGTCAGAAAACGAATCCCATCCAGAACGGGTGGGTTTCAGATGGGTTTCAGCAGTTGCTTACAGTGGGCAGGCACTGATTATACAAAGATGGGTAACTTATTGATGAAGTTTCTTTCTATATTGTTAGAAATCTCCTTCAATTACGGCAATATTATAATAGAATGTATTCTAGAAAGTTTGTAACAAGTATATTAGTGAAAATGGTCTCCTGGTGCTCAAATGCTTTCAGGGATCCTTTTTTTTTTTTTAATCTGCGCTCATTCGTTACCGACTCTGCAGTGACTACTTGGACGAGTCCTTGCAGTTTTCAAGGCAAGGTGTTTCGGAAGCGGTTTGCCAGAGCCTCCTTCCTAGAGCAGAGCCCAGCTGGCGAGCACAGGAGGCGGAGTTTCTATTGCTTTGCGCCCTTTTCGGGCAAGCGCCGTCTCGCGCTTACCGGCAACTGCTCCTGACTCCTTTTGCAAGGCGCCACCAGCATTTTTCCTCCCACCGGAGTGAGAGTCCCCATTTATCTACTCACGTGAGTTTTCGAACTGTTGGGTTGACAGGAACTGGGGAGGAAACAGGAGCTCACCCTGTTAACGCAAAGACTGGACTCGAACCGCTGAAGCATCGACCATTTCTGGCCGGCAACTTTCAGCGTCATTAAGCCACTGCGCCACCACGTCCCCCTCAAGGATCCTACGTAGCATCTTTAGTCTGAGTCACAGAAGTATCTTGGGAATGGCTTACAGTACTGTAATATTCCTAAGGAAAAATTAGTATAAGCAAGGATTCGCATATGAGGAGAAGCAGTCAATAGTTGCATTACACTTTTTTTTTTCCACACTAGCGCATGGAATGAGATTGCCAGCTAGGTTCTAAGGACTGTATTAAGACTTGATCATTTGGTACTTCTGTCCTGAAACTGTCTTTCATTTTATTCTTATAGTTCTATTTGTCTTATCACCTGTTCATTGTGGCCTGTGCTGGAGCTGGTGCTACTGTTATAGCCCTGGTGGGTACCATTATATTTTTTCACTTCTAAAATAACTAAAATCCCTTGTCAGATAAAACCACATTATTTAACCGAAACCAAGTCATACTCTGTGTTTGTTGGCGTCTGGCTGTAGCTTTCTCAGGATACTCCAAATAGCAGGGAAGTGTTTATTTTTTACCAAGAGAGCTTGATATAAGCAGTAAGCTTTATTGTTGCTGGGGTTTGTTGTGGTGGGTCTTCGTTATGTTATTTAATGCCATCCTCTTGCATGGTCCAAATAAGGCATTTCCTGATAGAAGTATGCTGGTAATAGCCAATTAAACATTAGGACACTTCAGAATGTTCCTCATGTTTGGAAGTAGTTTTAATTAATAATCTTCTCTCCTTCCTTTTAAAGTTATATCTGTTCTGGTGCAAGAAACTTTACTGAGGCAAAGTAAATTAGCCTACTTTAACCATCCATAGTAGATGTAGAGGAAGTACCAGTGAGATTCATCAAGGAGTTCTTGCAGTGATCAGCTTTTAATTTGTTAGTCAAATGCAGTGACTGTTATCCTGCAGCAAAGTGCCCCTCATCTAGCCAAAGTGAAGGGTGGGGGAAGTTACCAGACGTTTCTGCCATTAAGTTTGATTAAATTGAAGTCTGACAGTCTTCATTGTGATCTAACACAAATCTAATTGCCAAAAAGGCCTGAAGAAATTATTGTGTCTTATCTGCTGTATTTTGTTCTCTTCCACCAGCTGATCTACATGATGGCTACTACATATAACTTTGCTGTTTTGAAGTTTAAGAGTCGGGAAGACTGCTGCACTAAATTCTAAATTGAATAAGCTGCATTATGTAGCTTAAAATGCCACTGACACCCTAGACTAAGAGTCTAGATTTTTAAAGTTTGTTACAGTAAATTGTAAATAGCTTCAGTAAGCATCTTTAAGCATTTTAGATTAATACAAATTATTTCTTGTATATGAATAACAGTGTGGGTGAGGTCTGGCTATTTTCTATCCTATGAGAGAACACAATCTTAAGTGATGTTGTAAATCATCCTTTTAAAGGAAGAAGGGCTTTCATTTAACATCACACTATCTTTTTTTTTCTAACAATCATTTGTGAAACAATGTTTGAGTCAATTAAGGTCTGTAATACAGTAAGTTATTCTATCACTACTGTTCACTAATCTGAAAAAACAATAAAACATGTTTTACAGTAGATAACACACAAAATATGAGCTTGCTTCTTGATAACACCCAATGTCTAGACTTACTAGATTGTTGACAAAGTACTGTTCTCAAGTCCCACACAACTATCTCTTATCTCAGCTATATAAAATAAAACCAGTCTCTGCTTCAAAGCTATAGCCCCGTGAAGAGGTCTTTTACTGGTCAATTGCTCTGACACAACTAAACACCAGAAGAATACTTGTTTACCAGTTTAGCATTTCATTCAAACAATATATCCACTCATTTCCCAGTCAGAAACAAAGCCTACGCAGTTCTTCATCTGTAGCATGTCTTATTTACGTTAATGTTTTGTGGATTTTTCACCTATGAAAAATAGCAAACCATCCGTTTCTCTGACAGAGGCATTATTTTGGTAACTCATCTCTTACCTGATCATTTCCATGGTGCAATTATTGACTATTCAGCACACAAAATACACACTTTTAATCATTATCTAATTCTGTTTGCCCCAGCAAATACAGTGGAACATAAGCAAGTGGTCAACTGTACAGTTTGCTTTCATTTAGGCGGCAGGGGATGGGGATGGGAAGAACCATCACAAATTTGAGTTGCCTGGGAGGAGTCAGCATGTAAACATGCACAATGTTCTCACAGCTTTTCTGTTTCTGTTCTTTCACATTGTTTTTCTTCCTATTCCTTCCTAACTTTTTGCCAGCTGCTCCTTTGTTCAGCATGCAGCATTCTACATACCTTTAGAAATAAACTTTCTTGCCTATTTTTAATATTTAATTTTGTAGAATAACTTTGTATTAATCTTACTAGCTGCCAGCTTTGCCTCTTGACATACTCACTAGCCATCATGCTCACCCTTCTCTTCCAGATCCACTTCCTCATGATACTATCCTCTAACTGGGCCTACTTAAAGGATGCAAGCAAAATGCAGGCTTACCAGGATATCAAAGCAAAAGAAGAGCAGGAACTTCAGGATATCCAGTCTCGATCCAAAGAGCAACTCAATTCTTACACATAAACGTTTGCCAGAGTCTTTTTTCAGAAGAATTTTGTAGCTCTGACAAATCATCGAGCAGATATATTGTCCAAGCACTCCTGGGCCATATCCATAGGAAAAATTTGCAGAGAATATCCTTCATTCCTTTTAGCACTGAATTTGGAACTGGGGGTGGAGGGAGGGCATGTCATTCTAGGCCACTTTAAAACAAAGGTTGCCAACTTAAACACCTTTATGGATTTCTCTTGGCAATCATAACATTATAATTATTATTGTTCCTAAGCAGGGTACCAGAGTTGGTATTATCCAGCCCTGTGATGTCTAGAAGATTTTAAAAGGCTGTATATAATTGCACAGGTGTAAGTAACTCAGATTCTAGTATTTGACTAGATATTTCTTTTATTCTGAATACTTGTAATTTTGCTGATTTGATACAGTTTCAGAACATTATAAATCAACATTCAGTTCCTGTCAAAATTAAAACTGGACCTTGCACATTAAATGCCAGACGTGTTTTTGGTTTTGTTTTTTTGGAGACACTCCCTTTTCAACAAAGCTGCAATGAGCCTCTCTTGTTCTACTGCACTTATCAGAGTAAGCTGGGTGCTATTGCCCCAGAGAAGTTTTTTTTTTTAATTGTTTAATAAAATAGACCCAAACCCTGTAATCAGTATAATGATTCCCTTCTCTGAAAATAAATGTCAGCTTTGCCTTAATGTTTATTTTCTATAAATGTCTTTGAGCATTTATACAGCAGCTGGAAATCATTATCCTGTCTCAATTTTATCAAAGCAGAAAATATTACCCCGTGGTCAGTAATTTAATTGTTTCAAGTGAACAGATGATATTTTGTAGAACTTAAAAACCTTTAGCCATTCAGATTACAGGTCGATACTCACCTCAATTTTGGTGCTCAATCCAATAGGCTGTAATTGTTTTCTCTTATGAAAAATCTTGATGTTCAGAAAATAGAGGGTGCCATTTCAAACTGTCTCCCTTAATATCTGCCTTCTAGCATTTTCAGAAATTTCAGTGCTAGCTTACTAGTGATGATGGTTTTTGGTGTGCTATTTTTTAAAAAAAACATAAATGTTGAAGAAAAATAAAATGCATCAGTGAGTTTTAAATTGGTGAAAGATTAAGTCATACATCCATGTTTTGAATGTGTGCTGAATAGGAATGCTCCTTTAGAACATAAAAGACATGTGTTGAAAGTACAAGGTTGGACAAAAAATATTGGTATGGAAAATGAAATCAGGTATTACCTTGCATTTAAGTTCGTTACATGCCTAAAGCTGACTTTCTTTTTAAAGAAGCAAAATCTATATAAAGCAGATAAGAAATAGCTTAGTGTTTGTTTTTACCTGTTGCATGAAGGAAACAAGTTTCTACAGCAATGCAGGTGATGTTCTTTCTAGTCCAGTGTTTGCATAAAGGTAACAGACAATGTCTTAAAGCCTAATTCTTTTCTAATTCTTTGTAGCTGTTACTGGGAGTTTTTTGAAGTTTTGTTTAAGTAGTCTAATTTTTTTATGTAAAAAGTATTCAATTTTGCTATGTATAAATTTTTGTAACCTAACCGTGAATCAATATTTTATATCAGTGCCAAGGGCTTCCTGTAGTTATATCCAAGTGTTACAAATAAATATTTGTAGATAATAGAACCAGTATTTGTGTATGCTTATTTTAAGAACCAGTAAGTTGTGACTGTAGACTATCATTCCTTCTGATACTGGGTTAGCACACAATTATAAGTTTGCATGTATTGAACAGTTGGAGAGCTAGCATAAATAGAAAGATGAGCCTTTCCATGTAGCTATACATATTTGTATCTTATTAATTGATTTTACTTTATTTATATATTGTAACAATTTACATAGGCTCAACTTCAGACTGTTTTGTCCCATCAAGGGCCCATCAGCCTTCAGACACTGGGACAAGACTTATTTCTACATTTCTATTTCAGTCTACAGTGGAGATGTAAAGCTATATATCATTAACATGCTAATAACGTTCCCCAAATTCACAAATGATCTCTCTAATCATTTTCATATAGTTATTCTAAAGCAGAATTGAATTTGGTTGACCTCTCCTCCCTCATCACTGACTAGAGTGGAACCACTGCAATACACTGCCTCCAGATCCCAAACTTCATAGAGGAGATTCTACTTGCAGTAGGCAGTCCCAGAGGTGAAGAGGACCCTAGCCACAAAGATTTTTATAATGATTAGCACCACACCCCACACTGACAGGTGACCTGTCTCAACAGCTTCAGGTAACTATTAAAGAAGCCCCAGAACAACCCCACACCGAAACATCCAAGGGCTCAACTGCAATTTCCCCACTATCAACTGAAACTGCCCAGTCAGGAAGGAACAGTAAAACAGTGCCCCCAGTCTCCAACCCTTGTAGATGGCCCAAAATTATAATATTCCCAATACTACTGAATGCTTTTGAGAGATCTATCAGGACAAGGAGGGGTGCGCAACCCCCATCCAAGGCCCAACCGCAGGTTGTCTACAAGAGTGACTAATGCAGTTTCCATCTTACGCTCTAGCCAGATCGGGACTGGATGAGATTCATATAATCTGCTTTATCCAGAGCACTTTGTACTTGCCACCCCACTACCTCCTCTATAACTAAAGCAAAGCAATCTTCATTGTGTCATTAACCAGCTGACTATAGCCTTACCTAGAAAGGAAAGATTGGAGATAGGATGATAGTTATCTAGAACAGCTGGGTCAAGGGTTTTTTTTGGGGGGGGGAAACTGCACCACATCTCTTCCATGGGTGGTATGGTAGAATCAATTCCTTCCTCAAAGATCCATTCGCTACACCTGGAATCCATCCCATCTGGCAGCTTATATCAGTTATGAGTGACATATCAAGCTTACACATGATGCTCATCCACAGAGAATTCTGTCCACATTCCTTGGGTTTCAGAGACTCAAAGGTATCCTGGGTGATCTTTCAAGACTTTATGCCTGGCATCTCATGAGACTGTTCATCCAGTGTCCAACTTAGAGCAAATGTGAACAATTTTGTCTGCAAATGTCTAGGAAGGCCTGCAAAGGTCACAGTAGTCTACAGGTGGATCTTCTAAGCCAATAGTCCCCAACAGGGAATGAGTAACCTTGAATATTGCTGCCAAATAGCATTCCACAGGTGCAGTTAAGTGTGTAGAGGTTCTGACACTTTGCAACTCTTACCATCATAGGTAGGCTCAGATCTGAGCTCATATCCATGTCGTGTCATATTTACTCTTTTTTTGACATCACTGGTGATGTCTCTTCAGGCGCCTCATTTTAGGAACTCCTTGATAAACCAAGAGATGTGCCTGGATCAGTGCATATGGAGAAGCCATTCTGGGGCAATCTTGTCAAGCACTTTTATCACCTCCGTATTTCAAAGTTTGACAGAGTACCCAGCACAGCTGCTAATTTACTCTTAGTGGATGGACCAATGGATTCCCTCCAACTCCCCCATTCCAAAGTCTCCTCTCACTTCCCACACTCTCTCCAAGTCTCTCACTTCTGGGAGTAGGGACAAATTCTCACTATCCCCACTCTAGCTCCTGGAACCACCACAGCTGCTGGATTAACCTGAGTTCAATTCATTCTGTTTTTATAAGACATTTTAGAGGTAAGTTGTTTTGTTTCCCACTAAAAGCAAAAATACAGGAATAGAACTTTGGGAGACTATAATATCCTGTGCCATTAAACCTGATTTTAGCAAAATTTTAGGCAATAAAATATTTCAATAATATAATTCTAAACTATCACTCCAGTTCACCATTTGAACTTAATTTGCCAGGCCTTCATTGACTCATGCCCATGATGATTTTCACAATCCTACCATGAAGAACAAGGCAAGATTAGAAATCCATTACATCCAATACAGAAAAGGGCAAAAGGAATCAAGGTTGTTTCATTTTGCCGCCTCCTGGGCTATTTCCCTCCTTACAACAAGTTCCCTCCACTGATCACAAAAAAGATTTTATATTTGTTCTAGGAGGCGTAAGGTTGGTTTGGACACGTTAGGGGAATAGGATGGTTCAGAGCTGATAATCACAAGTCTTTCCTCTCTCTTCGTTCCCTTCTTTCCTTTACTGATACTGGAAGTATCAAGGAGTCCACACTAAGGAAGTTTCTGTGCACCAATCAATCTCCTTCTCCAGCTATGGAAAAGGTGACGGCACATCTTTCTGATCTTTGGGAATCTCTTCCAGCAGCCACAAGTTTACAGCCTGAAAAATCTACGACACCTTTATTTTGTTTTTTAGGTTCAGAAAGCCGCATCCTAGTTCTCTATTAAAATTACAAAACATTATTTTATGTTAGTCATTTCTGATCTTCCCCTAAATAGCTTGAAGAAAAATCACCATGAATAATTTGGTTTAAATACTATACTTTAATAGTAAGGTATCATAATCACAAACACTTTTTAAAAGAGAAGTTTACCTGTATAATTGTAATTTATATATTTATTTATTAAATTTGTATGACGCCCAGATCCCCCTATTTTAAAAACCTTGGTACAAGATATGAATCGAGAGCATATAAAATATGGCTGTTTCTATTTCCAAAAGTGTTTCACTTATTTCTAAGTACAATTACTATTCAAGAAATGAAAAATTTTCAAATGCATTCCATGCAAAGATGCAGATTTAATTTCTTAATGTCAGTGGTGTTTTGGAGCTTTGGGCTACAAAGAGCTGTAACTCACTAATTATGAAGTCTGCAATATAAGTTATAGAACAGTATAATTCAGATACACTGAAACTGAGAAATTTTCAATTTTCTGTAGTGATTGTGACAAAACATATTTTTTAAAAATGGCAAATTGATTTCATTTAAGACAACTCCTTCTATCCACTCTACACAATAGAACAGATTAAACTAGTTGTTCACAAAAGCAACATTTTGTAAAGAACTGTTCTTTGAAAGCCTGAGTATTGTAATTATTACTAACAGGCAGCAATGTATACAGATATATTATTTCTTCATTAATTATTTTACAGATGTAAATATTTAAGGCTCTGCAAAATCATTCTCCTTACTGCCCAAGGATTTTTCTTCCATATCAAGCACATTTCTTTTTCTGGTTACCACCTCCTCATTTTCACCAAAAATTGTCATCAGGTCCTTCATGGAGAATGTCTGCAGCACTAAAGCTAGGGGGAAAAAAATGATAATTTCAGACACAGTGGCTACAGAGAAACTTACACTTTTGTGACCCCCATCTGCTTTCCTCGACCCACTGCTCCTTTACTGAGAAGCCTTGGGGCCTTAAGTACTAGATAACCAAAGAAAAGGGATGACCTGCTGAGCAAGGTAGCATCTTTTGCCTAACAACCTGAGTGCTGCAAATGGAAAAGACTGCGATCCAGTGGAAGCTCCTCATGATGGAAGAGGAAATTATGCAAGCTAATGTTTGCTCTAGCACCACCTTCTGATATATCTGGGGAGTTCTACAATCCTCAGAAGCAAATCTCTGGAAGGCACAAGAAGCTGCAGGGGGTGGGGGGGAGGAGAATAAGCAAGCCTTGCAGTTCTCTGCCCCCAACCTCTCTTCTGTCCTACCAGCTACGGAACTTAGATTGTCTCAGTATCTGTATATAACCCAGACGAGGAAAAAATGAAAATGATACATACCTGTCTTCCCTTTCACTGCCTAGTCCCTCAGATGGTATTTCAACTGCTTCTTTCTCAGCCTTCTGACAGAAAGAAGAGAGTTGTTAACTAGGACTGCAAGTGTTTCAGGAGCCCCCGAGACATCCCTATGAAGCGGGAGTGTTTCAAACATTAAATTAGTGTTCTACATTGCAGCTCAGACAATTTCTGGGAACCAGTGGGATAAAGAGAGTTTTGAGAGTAGGATTATTTA